TAGGCATGCTAGCCATTAACCAGGGCCGCCCCACAAGGGATGTTGGTCTAGGAGTGCCAAGGTTAGGCACCCAAGGAGGTCGACCACCCCTCCTCAAAGAGTACACTAAGCTTTTGGAGGTCTGCCTGAAAATAACATCACTTCTCCCAAAAATCTTACAAGCAAAAATGGCGATGGTGTCCCTTAACGTAAGCCCACCAAGCGTAGGCAAGGCTAAGCCTGTGCCAGACCGTGACAGGCTCCCCCACTCGATCTATTGTCGTCCTCAACAATGGTCCTTCTATGAATGGAAGTTTGTGTCCCGTGCCATCCACTTGTCTCCCAGTTCCTCGACTCGCCTGGCCAACACGGGTCTCGCCTATGTTGGTGTCCATTAATGGGGACAGAACCATTTCACCATGCCGACTTGCCTGGACTTCACCTCCAGTGTTGAGGTTACTCAAACCACGCGATGTCTATGCCATTGAAAGTGTGTGAGAAGGGCCCTCGAAGAAATTGTGTGTGTGATGCTTCGCGGAGGTCTGCCCCATGTATCATCTTTACCTCAAGGCTCGACCGTCTTCATGGTAGCTTTTCGGTGGTGCTACCGAACACAATGTGATAGGTCTACTCCTGCTATTTGCGTGTGTCCTGGGTGTACCATTTCACCATGCTGGCCTGCAAACTTCACCTCGCTATGTTCGGGTTACTCAAACCTAGCCATGGCTTATGCTCTCTTGGCCCTCGAAACTACACTTCACTTCGCCGGTTCAAGCTACATCTTCGCTCCGAGGGGGCCCCAATCTATTGCTGCCTAAAGGAGATCTGACCGAGTTGTGCGCGAGTGTGGCAACTTTTACCCATGATGTTGCCGAACATGCACTCACCATGTGATGTATTGTTGCTGCCGCAAGTGTTCCACCTATGTGAATGCTGAACATGTCCTCCGATGCTTTGCCAGTGTAGGGCTACCATGCTCCAACGGCCAGTGTACCCACATTCCTATCATTCCAATATTGTGTCTTCAACCGAGGACCCATGATGTCAAGCTCTCACCTCAGCAAAATTCCTTGACCAACCATCGACACAAACCAATTCGAACTAGTGTCCGTACCTCAAGCCCATCCGTCATGAAACCAAGATGTAGGTGCACCGCCCACAACTCACTAAAATGAACAGCAACTGATGCCCGTGAGGAAGCATGACACTCCCCCACTCAAATTGCCACAATATGCCTTTCGTGTAATAGCTCATGCGTATGCCCCCGCAAGGGCGCTGTTTTGGGATCATTGGAATGGGGACACGATGAATGGCCTCTTGCCAAGCCTGATGTGCACTGCTTGCTTGAACCCAAGTGGAAGTGCCTAGGAACCGAACCCCACGATGTGCTGCTTGTCGAGATTACCGCTTCAACTGGCTCTGTGTGCATCGGCTCTAATACCAACTGTCACGGGCGTAGTTCTACAGCGGAAGAGCATCCAGGCCAAGGCAGGCCAGGACAAGCCTTTTATATGCTTAGGGCTAGGAGTTGCCCGATGAGATGGCTCCACCAAGGTCAGTAACACTGGATCATGACCTCAAGTCGCAAGGTCGGGGCTCTCTGCTGGCTCTGGCCGGTCCATGGGAGGCGCTACTTACATGCTAAAGGGGGAAGGCCATGATGTGAGGTGACTTGGCGCCGATGTGAAGGGTCTCATGTATGCCGATGATGTAGGAACCTGTATGCCAGTGATGATAGGCAACCGTTGGGCCGGAACACACCCGTGCGCTATGAGCAACGGGATAGTTCATTCAGCTTTGGCAAGGGGCTGGCATGGTGAAAGGTCATGCTCAAGCCAGGCCCACATGCCAAGCCTCCCTTGAGTGTCGGTAGCGCAGTGCCGGTCCATGCACTGTCCCCGTGAGCATGTGTGCGCCCATGAGAACCCTGGTAGCCATGCTAGCCATTAACCAGGGCCGCCCCACAAGGGATGTTGGTTTAGGAGTGCCAAGGTCAGGCACCCAAGGAGGTTGACCACCCCTCCTCAAAGAATACGTTAGGCTTTTGGAGGTCTGCCTGAAAATAACATCACTTCTCCCCAAAATCTTATAGGCGAAAATAACTATGGTGTCCCTTAACGTAAGCCCGCCAAGCATAGGCAAGGCTAAGCCTATATTTGACCGTGACAATATGGCTTGTGTTAGTTAGGGGTGCAACTTGGGCGGGCCAAACCCAAGCCCAGATTAATCAAACACCAATTCAAGTGCATCAAATTTCAGTTCAGGTCATGTAGGGCTTCAAACAGTATATGATTATCCGATTCCAAATCCAAATCCAATCCTATTAAGCCTGATCCGAATTTTATACATTTATAAATGGATCAAATATAGATCTACCCCTATCTGATCCTTTTTCACTAATTTGTCATATGTTTAAGTTTTATGCAAGTAATTTTCAATTCATTTTGTTTATAAAATATATTATTAAAGTCATTTTAGCTCATCTTATTAATAATATATAATATTCTGTCATTTTTAACTTAATTTATTTATACTATTTAATATCCGACTATAATCTAAATTCGATTCGAATCCATTAGATATTCGATTAATATGACCCTATTCAAATTCAAATGTTAACAAATCAAATTCGAATGTACGACCTGTTTGCAACCCCCCAAGGTAATGCCCAGAATTTAAACTGGACTCAGGACTTAGACTTAATTCTTAGTGTTAAACCTGCGTTGAGTTTAAATTCGATTCAGCCCGCCGACTTGCACCCCCATGATGATTGAGAAGGATGTATTGTTTTTGTTTTTTTTTAGTATAGACAAAATTGTTATCCAAAATGGGAGTGTCGTATTCTTAATTGATATGTCTGTTTACGACAAAAGCTCTTACCACATGCTAATTATTGGCACATGGTATCCTTGACCATACCATATAAAAATATCTCTCAAAGGTTTTTCCTTTGCCACTACATTAGATGACATGGTGGATATATCGGTGGCATGGTTTTAAAAAACGACCCATAAATGTAACTATTATGGCCACCGTTTTTTGAGTCCGGTTGTCTGGTTTGAATGGATGGTTCATTCTAACAGATAAATTAAAAATAAAAAACAGTCAAAACCACTGAGTGGGTCGAACCAGTCAGGGGTTCAACGGTTCGAATGATTCGCTGACCAAAAAAAAAATGGTCAAAACCGTTCGAACGGTTAATCACCCGGTTCAACAGTTCATTGACCAAAATCAACGGTTTTGGGAGAAAGTTCAGTTTTGGGGGAAAAATGGAATCGATCACCTGACCGGTTCCCGGTTTTTCTAGTTCGGTCCAGTTTTAAAAATCATGATTGACTTTTTCAATGATTTTTGGCCAAAAACTAGGTTTGAAGTAAAACAGAACCAATTATTTAAATGGTTCTTAGGCTAAATGGTCCAACCGTCTGAATCAACGGCGGTTTGAAAATCGTGAATCTGGGGTATTGAGAGTGGTAGATTGGGTCTAGGTACAATCCCTAACCTTTGGTATTCTTTGCACAAAATAACCACCCTCCTATTCAATTCACATTATCATGCATGTTTGTACAAAATTTAACCATTACACATCAAATAATGGTCCCTTGTTTAGTGGGTCCTTTACTGGGTGAACGTTAACAATGGAGCAACCTCAACCTGACCTTACCCAGCTAAATAAAGAGGGCGCCTATAGTCAAAGTAAGCTATAGTCACAAACAAGTTAAAAACAAAAAGAAAAAAAGAAAAAACGGATCCGATTCGTTCTAGCTATCGATTTTTGGGTTGACAGTTTAAACAGATGGTTTATTCTAATTTAAAAATAAAAGTTTAAAAATTAATTAAAATAAAAAAAAAACAGTTAAAAATTATTGAACGGATTGAACGAATTAATGGTTCTGAATTGCTGGTCAAATCAATGATTTTTGGTCAAGAACTAGGGAAAACAAAACCGATTGTTTAAACGATTCCCAGACTGACCGATCCAAGTGTCTGAGTTAATGACGATTAAAAAACATTGGTTACAAATATTTCACTGCTAAAATGTCAAAGGAATTGGATTTAACACAGGTTCACCTCAACCTCAACCCAACACAAAACTCAATTAAGGCTGATCCAACCGTAACCCAATCATATTAGTGGGGGCATGGTTTTAAAAACTAGATTAGATTCGACGGTAGGACCAATTGACCCGGGAACCGGTCATAGATCCAAAAACAATTTTGGACCCCAAAATTATCCGGCCCATAGGTTTAGACCAGTGGGGTTCACCATTTCACCACTAAAACCCGGCCCATGCATAAGAAGAATAAGATTGAACCTTATTTGTATAGTGAAACTCTAAAACTCTTGCTTTCCACACCCCTTGTAGAGTTATTTGTTTTGATGGAAGCAGCAAAGAAATTAAAACTTTTTTTTCATTCTAAGAAGTGGGAAAAATATACACCACAAATATTTAAATCTGATCAACTTTTCATTAATCTGAGGGACCATTTCAGCATTTCTTTACACAAAACACAGTCGCATATTTTGACTTTCATAAAAAGGCAATAAAGTTGGGATGGGGAGGATGGGGCGGGCCTATGGGATGCCTTGGATTTTATTTTAATTTATTTATAAAAACGTGTATTAATAAATAGCAGCAAATTGTGAGCTGTGATAGCGTGACCCATTCTATAAGTTTATTATATCGACCAGTTACAGTCAATCAGGTCTAAAGAGACTTAATTTGTGCGGATAGATGAAACACGAAAGTCTTACTATAACTTTAATTTATATAAAATCAGATCAAACTAACTTGTCATCTCTCGTGAGTATCTTAATTATCATCTTAATCTGCAAAAGTCAACTTCGGTAGTCGCCATTAATGGCGCTTTCGCTTTGAGAGAATAGCTGAAAGAGCCACGGCAGACAGAAACGATCGACTCCGGCCGTTCCCACCTCCAAATTTTCAAATCAATCTCAACTTGCTCTCTCTCTCTCTCTCTTCCCATGGACGCTATCCACTTATCGCTATATAAATAAGAGCTCCCAACCCTTTGTCTCATCACAACTCACAAGCTAAGCTGCCTAAGTGCCTAATTAAGCTTATTTCATTCAATACCAAAAACCCTTTTTGAGTTGTGACCAATGGCCTCCATCATCACCCACTGTTTTCTCACGCTGTCTCTCCTTGCCCTGTTTGCATGCTCGGCCCACGCACAGCTCTCGCCAAACTTCTATGCGACTACGTGCCCAAACCTACAAGGCATAGTGCGCAATGGGATGAGGCAAGCTGTCAACAGGGAAAGCCGACTGGGTGCCTCCATCCTTCGCCTTTTCTTCCATGATTGCTTCGTCAATGTAGGACGACGACCTTAATTAACCCCATATCACTATATCTCTTCATCATCTTCTTAATTTGTTTCTTTTCTTCTGTCCTACGTGTTTTACTTACATATATGCATCCACACTTTCAATGGTTCAGGGTTGCGACGCTTCAATCCTCCTGGACGACACAGCTACCTTCACCGGTGAGAAGAATGCTTTGCCAAACCAAAACTCAGCACGCGGTTTTGAAGTAATCGATGCCATTAAATCTCAAGTGGAAGCCGCTTGCAGTGCAACAGTATCGTGTGCAGACATTCTTGCACTAGCTGCACGAGATGGAGTTGTCTTGGTTAGTATTAAGGCTTCCTTCGTTTTCTACTCTACTGACACCGCTGATCTCATAGATGGCTGGTCTCACTTTTATGGTGGGTCCCTGTCTCATTGTAAGATGTACGTGTTTTGTTAAGTAGGAGATCCCAACTCTTCTGAGTAGAGGCAGGCATGTTACTATGTTAGTAGGTCCCAAAATAAGAAATAAACCCCACTTGATATTTCTGTATTAGTGGGTCTTCCCAAAAAACACATTGGGACACATTTACCCAACCGTTTTTTTTTTTTGTCTGAACGGGTCTATCATTCGGTTTGAACGATTGGTTCGACCCAGGAACCGGACCCTGACTGGTTCGTTCTCCGGATCAGTTTTATAAACCTTGCATTTACCTAAGTAAATTGTTTACTCATGCAAAAAAAAAATAATATGTGATAGGATAATATTTTCCTTTTAATAATGTCATTTTTTTGATAAAAAGATCATTATACAGTTTTACGAGGGAATATCTCCCAATGACAAGTGTCAAGGATGTTTCTAATGCATACTAGAATGTGGGGCGCCCCACCATGTGATTTACAATTTTATCTAAGGATATGTAAATGAATTATCGAGCTTAAATAAATGAATTATCGAGAAACAAAGGGAGGCCTAATTACACGATATGATGATTAATTATGGTTTGTAGTGAGTGGCGCACTGTCGTTAGTGTTGATGGTGCTGGCTGTTTCAAGCAGAAATGTAGTAACCGTAGCTTCCTTTAATTTGCAGCTAGGAGGACCCTCATGGAGTGTACCACTGGGACGACGAGATGCAAGAACAGCAAGTCAAAGTGCAGCCAACAGCGATCTGCCCTCCCCGTTTGCGAGCCTCTCTACCCTCATTTCCAGCTTCGCTGCCAAGGGCCTTAGCGCGCGAGACATGACAGCGCTTTCCGGAGCCCACACGATTGGCCAAGCTCAGTGCTTCACCTTCCGAAACCGGATATACAATGACACCAACATCAATCCCAACTTCGCTGCCGGAAGAAGAGCAACCTGCCCAGCCACAGGTGGAAACACCAACTTGGCCCCGTTCGACATACAGACCCCGAACTTCTTCGATAACAGCTACTATCAAAACCTTGTGACTAGGCGTGGACTTCTCCATTCGGACCAGGAGCTGTTCAACGGTGGTTCTCAGGATGCGCTGGTTCGGACCTACAGTATCAATAGGTTTGCTTTTGCACGGGATTTTGCTGCTGCCATGGTGAAGATGGGCAACATCAGTCCCCTCAGTGGAACAAATGGAGAGATTAGATTGAATTGCAGGAGAGTGAACTGATATCCTCCTCCTGCTGGTACATATAAGAGTTGGGTGTTTCTATGACTTATGGTTTGAGAAATTACATTATGTAACATGCTTTCAAATTTGGGACTACTGAAATTGAGGGTTAAGCATCATTTGTACCTCAGTGTATTTTCCTTTTTCAGTCACTTGGTTGTGTGTGTAACTGTGTATGTGTATCATTCTCATGAATATTTTCTTAATTTTAATAACAATAAAAGGTCAAATGGTTGAGATGTTTACTCTCTCTCTCCCTCGGAATGGGAAGAGTCCGCGTGGACTGATCTTTTCAGATAGAATTCAAAGCCCAGCCCAGCCCAAAGATGTTGGCTTCAAATTTAGACCCAATAGATAAATGGATGGGCTTGGGCTTGCAGCCTCAGATTTTGTTTTTAGTAAGAGGCCTCAAAGAATTTGAAGAAAGATAGATTCCACTAGATTTTCATAATAGACCCAATTTTGGAAGGAGTACAAATACAAATATAAATACAATATGAAAATTGTATTTGGAAAGAGTACAAATACAAATATGTAGGATACAAAATCTTGCATTTTGTATGTATTTTTCCCAAGGAAAAATCTATGATGGAGGAAAGATATGGTACCAGAAGAATTTTAATCAATCAAAGCCCACCCATGAATTTTGATACATAACACCTGATTGGCTACCATGTTTACGATGCCAGTTGATTGGTCAAAAACTTTTCAGATATCATAGTGAAGCTCAGGAATTAGGACAGCAGAACAAACAGAGATTAAAAACAATAAAAAAAATCTTCATCTCTAGGCTTCATTATTCTTTACTCTTTAGAGCAGTCAACTTTAAATATTCAAGAAAATCACACCTTTTAAAATCTAATTCCAATCTCGGACAAAATGTTATATACTTCTCTGATCGTAAATAAATTAATCTTGACTGGTGCAAATTTTTTCATTTCTGTTTTGTTTGTTAGGCTCAGTTTGGAAGGAATATAAATACAAATATGTACAGTATAAATATATAAAAAATAATACAAAATACAAGATTATGATTTGCATCTCAAAACCTAAGGTTAATTTTGCACCCCCCTTCTCTCTATCTTAATTTTTTCCCATATAAAGTGGGGACCGCGTCATTTCGCACCCTAATTATTTTGGGAAAAAATAACTCTCTGACTTCCATTCTCTTTGATTTAATGTAGAAAGCACTTCTTTTTACTTCTCATAAATAAACAAGGCATCTTCTCAAGAAAATAAATAAATAAGGCAAAATCAAAACTAAAGCAATAGCAAACGAATTTACACTCATCCCTTTTGCACTCCCATGCATTTATACAAGTGCAAATAAAAATCGTACTATAACCAAATGCTACCTAAAGGTCAAAAGTCAATGGTTGAATTAAAATCCTGGGTTCTTTTCTTTCCTTTTTAATTTCTTACTAACAGGAACCATGCGATGCATGGGACATGTTAAGGAAAGCTAAATAATAAAAACACATAAGAGCATACAATTATTTTATATTTTTTACTTTTTAAATAATTAATAATTATTTATATTTTAGATACAACATTTAATTTTTTTGTTTACAATACAAAAACAACAATAATTAATTTTAGTTAGGGTCGTTGATCAAACTGATGAAACCAACCAATCCGATCAACTCGACCCGAGTTGGTCAATTTTCTAGCATTTTTTGGTTGGCTTTGGTTCAATGATTTCCCAACTTGACCAAGTTGGATCAATTTCGCTTTGGTCATTTGAAAACCAACCAAAGTCAAACAACCTAACCATAGATATATACATTAATATTTTATATTTTTAAATATATTTTTTTTAAGACGGGAGTGTGGGAAGTTTTCCATATTTCTTAGTCTAAAATATTTTATATCAGAAATTTATTTTTTAAAAATACCATTATAGTTTCTTTAAACTTAAATTTGATTTTTTATGTCTTTTGAACTGACTAACTAAACCAAATATCAACCCAAACCAACAAAATCAGTGGACAGGTTTCACAAATGGTCAGTCGATTTCGGGTGACCAACTCCCCAACCAAACCAAGTCGATTCGGTTGGCCAAACAGCCTACAATAGAACCAAATCAACCCTTGAACACTCCTAATTTTAACTAAATTAATCATCTAATAACAATAGTTTAATCGACAATAATTATTGAAAATTTATAACAAAAATACACAATTATTGAAAATATTTTGATAATGAAAATACAATAAATAACTAATAAAAATATAATAAATACTAAAAAATTTATTAAGTTGGTCAATAAATAGTATAATCTAAATAATAGTTTACTCTCTAATAAATATAAATCAATAAATTATTAAAAAATTCCTATTAAATAACAAACAAAAAAAAGTATCATAATTATAGAAAATATATTTATCACAAAATACAATAAATATTAATTCTAGTATATATAATTATATAATAAATATAGATTAAGAGTTTAAAATTATTATTCATAAATATTAGTTTTTTCAAAGTTATTTTCTTTAATTAAATTATTATTATTAAATTTAGTAATCCATTAAATAAATTCGTTATTTAGTTTGTAAAATATTAAATTATTATTAATTTCAATATTATGTTATAATTATTTTTCTACTTTTAAGCAAATTTTTAAATTCATTACATAATTTCGTTATTTTAAATATTTAAAATCTAGTTATGTTAAATATTTTTTATTTAAATATTTAAATAATATATAAAATATTTAAGTTTTTTATTATTTGAATTATATTTATTTTAAAGCTATTTAATAATATTAAATATTTTTTTATATAATTATTTATCTATTTTTAATATTTTTTATTTAAGGTATTTAGTAATTGAAATATTTAAATAATATTTTATTTTTTAACATTAAATTTTTATTATGTGAATAACATTAAGTTGAAAAATCTGGAAAATCATAATTTACATTGTTAGTATATAATTTTGTGATGAATTTTGTAGAAATATAAAATTATTAATATTATTAAATCTATTAGAATTATTCTTTTTGTGTTTTTAATAAATATTTTAAAGTTATTATATAATTTCATTAGAATATTTAAATAATTCTTAAATTTTTTAATTCAAACTTCCTTTAGGTAGATATAGATAAAAAGTGGGGGAAAAGGATAAATAGGAACGTAAGTGAAAAACTGTCTACTAAATTAGAGATAACTTAGGAGATAGATAAGAATTAGAGATAATTAAGAAGATAAATAAGAATTAGAAATAATTTAGGAGAAAGTGTGGGATGGTGGGGGAGATAGTTTATGATAAATTTTAGGAGAAGATTATTTAGGTTATTGGGAACGTAAGAGAGAGAGATTTTAGGTAAGTTTTATGGTAATGAGAGAATCTCATTGGTTGTTTCAAAAATGACAGAATTAAAAAAAATCAAAATTCAAAAAAAAAAATGAGAAATTTTCTTCACTTAAAATTAGTGGTAAACTAACAAGAAGAGCAATGTACTCAATCAAGGTATAGTTCCTCACATATTTTAAAAGTCTTTCTATTGGAAAACTTGAAGCCTTCAACCAAGGTATGATATTCCTTAAAATTAGAAAAAAAATGTTATTATAATCAAGGTTTTAAAACTCTTATTGAGACAATCAAACTTTTTCACCCAAAAATAGGTCATGTCACCAGTTCTGTTTTGACCCCGAACTGCTTTCTTGGGAAAATCATTGCAAAGTCAAAAAATTATTGACCCTGGTAATCCCGTTGACCCATTCAACCTGAGCAACAACAACCAAATTGTAGTAAAACGAAGAGGTCAAAAATAAATAACTAAAAGAATGTCAGTTCTGTCCTAAAGTATTAAAACTTATTTGATGATTTCGGTCTAGGGTCCTTTCTCAAGTATCAGTTGGACTCTAAAGTCTGGAGTCTACAATTTAATCCCAATAGTCAGCAAGTCCACCACTTATAGGCTTGCAACGAGGGGTGCAAATGGACTGAATCAAGATCCAATTTGAATTCGAACCCAATCCTATTTTACTAGATTCAGATCCCCCTCCTCTCCCTCCCTCAGATTTTTGGCCCGGGTTGGATTGAACAATAGGATCCATTTAAAATAATTGAATCAGATTTGGAACACCACCTATCCAATCTGACAGAATCTGATATGATCTAGTACATTGTGAATATGTTTATATTACATTTTTTGTAATTTGATTTTTTATATTTTTTATGTTATTTATCTTATTTTATAAAAAGACAAGTATATATATGATAAAAGTAGTTTTTTTTTCAGCAAAGATAGAAACTGGATTCATTAAGAGGAAGTTAAGGGAACATTTGAATCCCTTTACATGAGTTCACAAAAAGGGGAGTTAGGTTTACCGAGCTGGCATAGCTATTTACAAAAGAGTTCATATGCCGAGCTCTCTTTCCCAGATCATGGGCTGGCAGAATGACATTCCTGCTTACATACATGATTTTAATATTATCAAAAAAGATAGAAGTTCCAAAATATGATCATAAAGTGCTTGTTGGTCCCATGGTATCTGCTTATCTGTCCCATTGAGCTTCGCTAGCACTACTTTAGCATCTGAAAACAAAAAACATGTCTTTACACCCATACAAAAAAACTTTCTTAGTCCTCTAATCACTGCCTAGAGCTCAGCTATTGTTGGGGATCTTGCCAAGCATATTTCTCCTTCTGCAAGGATAAGATGAGACCTATGAGTGAATATATATATATACCAGTATATACAATTTGTGTGAATGGATTCCATGAGCCATCAACAAGAATGATCAGAATTTCTAAGGAGAAGACTTATTGTAAATCCCATTCTGATTGAGAATCTGGTGGATTGAGGAGTTTAAGCCCCGGTTCTTTGTAACTGCAGTAGTTTTCAGCCTTTCTCAGTATTTGAAGGGAGTCTGGGTTGACATTGTTAAAAATTTGATCATTTCTTGCATCCCAAAAGCTTCTTAAGATGGCACACACACCTTTGCAATGTAATTAAACTTTATCACTTTATTTTCCAAGTGGGAATTGTACTGCCACCACCACTGGATTAAATCCACTTGGTTAGAAATCAAATAGAGTTCTGAAACCAAACCAACCTGAGCTTGAATCTAGACCGCCCTCAAGAGAGGGCATTGCAGGAAAAGATGCTTTTTGGTTTCAAAAGTTTCTTTACAGAAAGTA